TCCAGCGTTGATTGTGTTTCATCCCCTGAGAACAGCATGAAGTCAGGGATCTTATATCTGACACTACTGTCAAATAGCACCAAAATTAATAAAAACTAGATTTTGCAGTAAAGCGCAACCTAGGTCGTCTCCCTAAGAATCAATAGAGTAACTATTTAAATTATGATTATGAAAAGCTAAAAAATGGGGGGGGTTTATAATGAAATTAAAAACTGAATTAGAAATAAATAAATAGAGGAAATTCAACTAAGAAAATTACCAAGAATAAGCAGCGCAATCAATCACAATCTAATCACCTAAATTTAATCGTCCTCGTCCACAAAATAAATTAATTTTATTCAACTTTATTATTCTGGTTTTATTATATATTTCTCAAATTACCATTCAAGAATTAAACAAGAAGTTAAGTTATAGATTAATTGAAATCTCCCTTAACCCACAACCTAACAATTGTTTTATAGCCACACCAAAAACAAAGCATGGATAATCATCCAAGCCAAGCCAAATTACTCTTACAATGCTATATCAATCGATTATAGCAATTAAAACCTCAGATAAAATTTATAACTCAAAAATTATGCAATAAAGCTACTCTAATCAGTAATAGTAATTAAAGCATAAAATTTAGAGGTAGAGAGAAGAAGAGAAAATTGGAATAAAGCTAAAATAAAATCTTCCCTGAATATTAAAGACTCTGATTAAAATTTAGGATCATGGTTTGTGATTGATCACACCAAAAAAATTAGCTCTCCATAGAATTAAAAATCAAACAACATGAAATGAAAAATTGAGAAGCCATCACCCAAGAAATTGGAGGAAGGAAAGACGAATGGCGATGGCTGCTCTGTTTCCCTTCTTTCATTTTTTTTCCCAGATCGTGCTTCCTCTGTGTGTCCCCCATCTATTCATATATATATATATATATGAAAAGTGGACCCTCTCCCCTGCGTCTCTCTTTCTTTCTTTTATAATAAAAACTAATAATTTATTAAAAAGATAAAACTACCTTAAATAACCCTAATTAAAAATTACACTAAATAATCCAAAATAAATTCAAATAAAATTTTAAAGATTTGATTCTTGATTTGATCTCCAAGCATGCCCATATTCTTCTTATCCAAAATATTGTTCATCAATATCTTTCAAATTGAATCTAGAAAATCTGCACAAATAAAATAAAATTAAATAGCACCTGTGCAAAAATATTAAAGATATTATTTATATTTTAAAATTAAAGATTTAGTTAGTTAAAATTCTAAAACTGAATATTGGCTAAGAAAATTAAATAATATCTAATTAAACTCAATTAGCCTCAAATAAATATTTAAAAGTCTAAATTAAAAGGATAAAAATATGTAAAATTATCATTTATCAATATCCCTGAGGGTATGGGTTGTCCCTATCTATGTACTTTAGATATGGCTTTAAGAAAGTGGGGCAACCAATTGGCCTCAGCCTCGATTCATATATATCCTAGATAATATCCTTCAAGGCCTCCATGTTCACTAGTTGATTCTGAGGCTTGTTTTGATGCTCCGGGACCACTCCCATACCCCCCCGGCCATTCATGCTGGATTCCTGTAAATAATACAAATGATTACTTAAAGGATTAGTGTGAGAAAAAATTAAGGGTTAGGAATGTCCCTTACAAGTAGGCAGCCCTGAAGGCCAACACCTATATTGATTCCTGCTTGTTGTCCTCCATACAGCCCTAAATTTAAGCCTGCTTTTAAAGGAGTGCTTTTTAATGATACAGTTATGTTCTTCATGCCATCATGCAGAGCCTGCATTATGATCTGCTGTCGTTCCTTCTCTATGCATTCTGACATTTTCAGGGTAGTGCAAAGAACATTTAGTTCTCTTCTAGCTGCTTATCCATCTAGTTTTGAATTTCCCGTAACACTTCTGCCACCAAACTATTGAATGTGATCAGTAGGTTAGCTTGTCTACTTCCTAGCTTTTAGACAAGGCTTCTGCTGCTGCTATCTATTAACATCAGCATTAAGTGCTCACGATGTTTAGCCACTTCAGCATCAGATGTTAAGCATTTTGACCCTGCGTGTGTAGAGGTCCCTTCTAGTTTGTGAGAACCAGCACCTGTTTCATCAGTCCTTTTGCCTTTTCTCGTCCTTGCCATCTTTGTTACACAGGTCCCACCAGGTGTGCCAAAAAATTGTTCGTGGTGAACAACAAATACTAGGCGTGCCAAAGACGCTGAGTCTCAATTGATAACAAAAGGGTCCCGAGCTTTTTTACCATAGTTCACTCAGATATAAAAGATACACAAGGCTTTGGTAGAACAAGTGTTTGATTTTTATTGAAATGCGGGAAGTTACAAGTCTAAATTGAAAGTAAAAGTAACTGATAAAACTAAAGGCTAAAAGGTATAAAAATGCGAGTCTTTGATTGAGTGTTGATTATCTTTCTTCTGTGTCTTTATTTTATATTTATAATATCAGAGTGGTGGTAGCTTCTCTCTTAAGACCTAGCACGTTTTGCCGAAAACTTAGAGATCTCGTGAAACTTATGGCACGGTCTTTATTTTGTGTTCTCCAATTTTGGTAATTAGCCCGTCTCACCAAGATACTTGGTCATGATGTCCACAGATTCTGAAATTACTCGAGATCGTGTCTTCTTGTTCCAACAGTCCAATATTTATAACTGACGAGATTTCGGCATGTTTATTTTATCATAGCCTTTATTGAACTTTAAGGCCAACCCCTTTGTTAGTATTAGGCCTAACTCTTCAGTTACTCAGCCCAACTAGCCTTATAACCTACCTGAGCAACGTTTCATATTTTAGCCCAAACAATAATAAATTAATCATAAAATAAAATATAACAAATGTTATATTATTTTTTTAATTTATTTCTATAACATAGGTTATATTTGTAAAAGTTCAAAAATATTTTAGCTGCAAAAACTATCTTTTTTTTAACCCTATTAATATTGACTTGACTATCATTTTGGTAGGTTTGGACATGCTTGTGAGCCGTAAGATGAAAGAGAATCTTAATTTAAAAAAATAAATTAAAATAATGAAAAAAAAGATATCATGGTTAAAAAATAAAAAAGCAAGATGCTAGTGAGCCAAAAAAGCAAGATATCATGGTTAAAAAAATTAAAGTAATGAAAAGCAAGATAGACATCGGAATAATTTGTAATATTTTTGTATGTGTTTATTAATTAGTAGCTTTTTTCCGTCTAAAACGAAAGATGTTTCTTGAATGATGGGAACTATTTTATTCATTTATTTTAGCTATTCCCAATGTCGAGACTAATGAAAGTTCCCTGATGTTTCTCATGATGGTGTTTTTTTTTTTTTAAAAAAAAAGAGGGACAATTATTTCTAACCTGAGGTTATAACTGAAATAAAACCCGCAACATCTCATCTACAGAGAAGCTTAAGTGGTCATTGACTATCACGATTTTTTTCAACACATGAAAAATTGAGGAATGTTGAAAAATAATTCAGAAGAGAAAATGCTTTCTAACGCTTTTAATATTAACTAACCCATCAATTTTGTAAGTTGGGTCATGCTAGTTAAGCACAAGATGAAAAAGTGAAAAGTAATGCAAAAGCTCGTCAAAAAGTGAAAAACAAGATAAAAACCGAGTTTGCAGTGATTTTGTGTGTTTTTTGATTATTTGATTTGTAGCTCTTTCAAATTTGAAACGAAAAACGATGGAATATATTTTATTTATGAGAAGGCACAGTTATTAAAGTCTATATTCTTATCGTATTGTGTTATTGATTACTATATATATATATATATTTTAATGTTTCAAGTCCTTGTCATTTTTTCGGCCGCAACATTAGTTCATCTATTTTTAAATATTTTCAAAGAAATGATAGTACTTATTATGTTAAATTATCTTATATGCAACTAATAATAGTATTAATGGAAATATTAACATGTTTAAACCAAAATGAGTCCACGATTATTTTATGAAGATAGTACCAACAACGATATTTATTAATTAGAAAAGTAAATTTCAATCACTATAGGTCAAGTCTTTTACCTTTATCGTCAGATGCCCTAATCAATTTTTTTTAACCAAATTAAATGGCATTTAGTTTTTGTGTATGGCACTTGTGTCGTTTAAACTTTTGCCCTTTCAATTTTTTCACTGCTAATTAGATTGTTATCTCATCCTTATTTTAACATTTAACATAAAATTTAACACCGTTAACTACACACTAAATAATTTAACATTCTTAGTGTCACATCGTTGTTCCTATAAAAATATTTAAACGTAGAGGGATTAATATTATATACAAAAGAAGCTAGAGAGACCTGAAACACTAATAATTAAAAAGTATAGGGACTAATAATAGAATTATAGGGATCCATAATTTTATTTTTGTTCATTATTTATGTATTTTAGTTTTCTAATGTGTAGACTGTAGAGTAATAAAAGATCCTCCATTTTTCTGCTTCATGGAAATTGACAAATGTTAAAAAATATTCCCCCGGCCTTTATTTATTTTACCCACATAATACATAATTCTCGTAGTATTATTATAGTATATTTATATGCTATACATATAAAAAAATAAAATAAAAGATATCAAAGATAACCCACAGCATGCATTATCTCTTTTGAATTCTATGGTGCTGACAATATTGATTGGATGATGAATGTGAACGTACCCCAACATTTAAAAAGAATCTTAGTCTAATAGTGATTGAAAGTCTTCTTTTTTTCTTCTTTTGTTGCTGCAAACTAACAATTATATTCCCTGATGTTTCTCGCCCTCCAATCAAGAGAAAGAGGTAGGAAGGCATGTGTTGTGTTCAAAATCATCTAAATTAGGAAGTATATGTTGGGTTGATCCTTCAAAATCATCAGGAGAGAGTGTGCTTTCTCTATAGATAAGAAATGGCAGAAAGTGTTGTTGGTTTCCTGTTGGAAAAATTGTCTGGGCAATTTTTAAAAGAATACAATTTGCTTAGTGATGTAAATTAAAGCGGAATATAAAGTTGCTTAAAGATTAGATGGAAACATTGAACGCTCTCCTCAAGGACTTAGAGCAAAGGGTAAACAAATATGAAGTGATTGCAAAGGGGTTTGAGCAACCCAGAGAGGTTGTTTATGAAGCTGAGGATTTGATCAACACTTATATCTATGACCTTAATCGGCAAAGAATCAAACGGTGGTGGGATATGACCAATTGCGTAAGTCACACAAATCTTCCTCACGATCTTGTAGACAAGATGGGAAAAATTAAGGTCAAGATTAAGGTCATACAAATCTAGACTATTTAGAACATATCTATATAGTTAATTTATAAAAATTATAAATATTTACAATATTAAATGAAACTATCTAGATCATATCTGTATTGCCCAAGCAAATGGTGAACAAATTTATTAAAATTTTTATAAACTTTTATTTTAATAAATTAAAATTAAAACTTCAAATCTAGATTGTCCAAATTAAATTCGGACAACCCACATCTATTTTATTCATTGAAACACTGACAAGCACCTCAGTGTGTTGATAATATACATATTTTGCATACTTTTATTTCTCTCATGTTGTCTTTTCAGCACTTGTTTTGATATATTATGAAACAATTGCGTCATGTTTGATATTAGAGGGAAAAATAATATTTTTGGGAATTTTTAGGATTTATTACATTTTTTCCAGATTTTATCAAATATTATTTTGATTCCCTGAAATAAATTTTATTTTATTTTTGTTTGGGTAGTTACATGGAAAAGAGAAGAAGCATGAGGATCAAGTGAGAAATTTCTCTCTCCTATCTTTCCTCTCCTTGTATTTTATTCTATTCTCCATTAATTTTTTAGCATTTTTCCTGTCCATTTATTCTTAGTATTTTCCATGGCCATTCTCCATTCCATTTCTTCACAATTCTAGCCCAAATTCCACCCAATTTCACTTCCTATATTTTTCACTCTTCTTTTTCACATGGAATTTCATTTACCATTCCATTAGCTTTAGATTTATCACCATTTTATTAATATACAGAATTGAAAATGAATATTTTTTGATATAAAAAATATATAACCGCGTGCCTTCCACGATCTTTTTCATTTACCATTCCATTAGCTTTAGATTTATTGCTACTGCATATTGTTTCAAAATGTTCTCGAAATGAGGGCAAAAAAACTCATTTTCTTCTTATAAGATAAATTAATTTGTAACATTTATTATATTTTGTTTTACTTTATGCACCAAGCAAGTCTTTACAGTCTTGTACGTTGTTTACTTTTGTTTTGATTTTTTTCATTTTTTTTATTAGTGGGGCGGACATTAATGACTTGAAGAAGTTATAAGTGATGAAATTGAACTTGTGATCACTCACTTTTTTTTTTTTTTTTGAGTCTGGTATATCCTTTTCTTTAATGTCGTTGATTTTTAATTCTCTAAACTTGATGGCCCATGCATTAAGGCTCAAGCGTTGTCCTTAATTACAACCAACAATATAACAAGAAAGGATAGCATCGTAATTCAACACCGAAACACGGAGGGACAAAAAACAAAAATCAAACTTAGATTTTACCTCATCAAATAAAGCCAAGATTTCTCAAAAGGATTTGTCATTAGATTGATAGATACAGCTATTGGAACGTCTTATTCTTCTGACATGGGATTTAATTTAAGTGGGCACCATCTGATGACTGATAATTTAATCCAACTACCTTGCACTACGTTAATTAATGTAATTGTTAGTATATGAGAAGAAGGTTTGATAAAAGATGCCAGTAATAAGGTGAGGGCACGTGAAGGAACCATATCAACAAGTCATTTTGCAGAGTAATGAAAGGGAGTTGATGTTTCGGAGAATGACAATTAAGGACCTACTAAAAACATTAATCTCAATTACAGGTCATAAAATTTTGAAATCCTAGTTAAGGATCATGGCCCTTAATTGTAATTAAAAAAAATGTAATTTGTGAGATGGGATTCATTATTGTCACTTGAGAATTCACTCACCCAACTTGAGAAAATTTGTAACATATATTATGAAAACATGAAACCCTATTTGAAAATGAAATGTTTAACAAAAAGCGCCACTTGAAAATTCACTAACTAGACTTGAAAACATTTCTAACGTATATTGTGAAAACATGAAACTTCAATTAAGAATTGATTGTTTAATAAAAAACATCAATTTGGATAAGTCACTTTTTATTAATGATTCTCAAGTAGGGTTTCATTTTTTCACAATATACGTTAGAAATTTTTTCAAGTCTAGTTAGTGAATTCTCAAGTTGCGCTTTTTGTTAAACATTACATTTTCAAGTGGGGTTTCATATTTTTACAATATACATTAATAATTTTCTCAAGTTGAGTTAGTAAATTCTCAAGTCGCATTAGTGAATCCCATCTCACAAATTACATTTTTTTTTATCACAATTAAGGACCATGGTCCTTAACTCTGATTTCAAAATTTCACGATCCGTAATTGGAATTAATATTCTTAGCAAACTCTTAATTGTCATTCTCCCTTGATGTTTCTCATAGTTCTCATTGTTGAAAGGCAAGCTCGAAGACCTGCGTTTGTACCTTCAAAGTCTTCTCAACTAGAAAGTATGTGTTAGGGCGCTCCATCAGAATTATTGGAGTGATTTTATTTTCTCTGCAGATAATAATGGCAGACGGTGCTGTTAGTTTCTTGTTGGAAAAATTGTCTGGGCAACTTTTACAAGAATACAATTTGCCTAGTCGCGTAAAGAAGAAAATCGAGTTGCTTCAAGATCAAATGGAAATTCTGAAACCTCTCCTCAACTGCTCAGAGAAAAGCCTCAAAACACATGAAGTGATCACAAACGCATTTGAGCGACTCACAGTGGATGTTCATGAAGCTGAGGATATGATCGACACTTACATCTACAATCTTAATCGGCAAAGAATCAAACGGTGGTGGAATCTGACTAATTACGCAAGTCACAGAAAGCTTCTTCACGATCTTGAAGACAAGATAGGAGAAATTGAGGAAAGGATTGAAAACATACAAAGCACCCGACAGCATGCCATGGAAGCGCTTCACAATGTCCAAGGAGAGGCAGAGATAGAGACTGAGATGGATGCTGAGGCTATTTTGAAGGAACGTAGGAGAAATGTTGAGCAAGATGATGTGGTTGGCTTTGATGTTTGCTCAAATGAAGTGATCAAGCGACTCATGGGTGGGCATAAAGAGCGTAAGGTTGTCTCCATCATCGGTATGGGTGGGCAGGGAAAAACCACTCTTGCTAGAAAGATCTATAAAAATGATAAGCTCAAGAGATGTTTTGATACATTTGCGTGGGCTGATGTTTCAGAAGATTGGAAAGCTGAAGCATTATTGCTCATTCTCTTGGCTCAAGTGGGATCAAGTAGTTATCATGGAAAGGGCATAGAAAATCTAAGACAAGCAATCCAAAAAGAATTGGATGATGGTTATTTCCAAAATATAAGTATGGAGAATTTGTTAAAGCAAAAAATTCATGAAAGTTTGAGGGAAAAGCAATATTTTGTTGTCCTTGATGACATATGGAGACCTGAAGTATGGCATGCCATAAACGATGCTTTTCCTGTTGACAAAAATGGGAGTAGAATATTAATCACTAGTCGAGATATGCGAGTAGCTCGTGTTGCAAGTGCATCCGAGGAGTTTATATATAAGCTTCCATCTCTCAATGAAGAACAAAGTTGGGAACTTTTGTCAAAGAGGGTGTTCGGGGGAGAACAGTGCCCTCCTGATTTGGAAGATCTTGGTAGGAAAATGGCTGAAAGTTGTGATGGATTACCATTATCCATTGTAGTATTGGCTGGCATATTAGCACAACAAGGGAGATCCAAGGCACGTTGGTTCTTGGTCGCTGGAAACGAAATTTGGCATCTTTCTCAACAAAAAGTTGAATGCACAAATATTTTGGCATTGAGTTATAAGTTCTTGCCACAAAATCTAAAACCATGCTTTCTATATGTTGGTCATTATCCTGAAGACTTTAAAATTTCTGTCAAGCAATTGATCCGATTATGGATAGCAGAGGGTTTAATACCACAAGATACTGGCACCAAGCAACTAGAGGATGTTGCAGAATACTACTTGATGGAGCTCATTGACCGAAGCTTGATCCAAGTTGAAGAGAAGAGGACTGATGGGGGTGTGAAGGTATGTCGCATTCATGATCTTTTACGAGCATTTTGCATAAAAGAAAGAAAAAAGCAGAAGTTCTATGACATCATTACAACCACTGGAAGTTCAAATCCGGGTAGCCCTCGAAGATTATTTGTGTATCAGAAACCTTCAACTTGCCTAACTTCTAGCCTTAGTGCTAATCATTCACCTGTGCGTTCTTTGATCTTCTTTGAAAGAGGAGAAGATTTCACACATTGGGAAGCCATTTTGAAGGACGTCAAATTGGTTCAAATCCTTGATATCTCCTCTAGTTATATGGAAAGAAGATTTCCTAATACAATTAAGCATCTAATCCATCTTAGATACCTAAAGTTGTGTAATGTTGATCCTTGTTTTGGGAGAATTCCAAAAGCAATATTTGACCTATGGAATTTAGAAACTTTTCAGATTGTAGGCTTTTCAGTGACGCTACCAAGGAGCATAGAGAAATTTAAATGTTTAAAGCATCTTTTGCTTCCAAGACAGTCATTTATTCCCCGTCTCAATGGTTCTTCAAAAAATCTGGAAATCCTTTCTGGTGCTGCTTTTGAAGACAGTCATGTTCCCTCACTAACCCATATGCCCAAGCTTAGAAAATTGGGGATGTTTTTAAGCAAAGAAGTACATAATTCACATACGTTTTGGCAAAACCTTCCAGCCTTATCTGATCTACAAACACTCAAGATTTGGGGTTACAATTTCCCTCGCATAGATGCAATTTTTCCATCAAAATTGACCAAGATAACAATGCAGGCAGATGTTGATGATATTTCTATGGAAGTTCTTGGAGCCATTTCCAGTCTTGAGATTTTAAAAATAGGTCACTATTCTTTGTTCAATGAATGTAGATTTGACAATCTTGACTGCAAAAGTGGATATTTTCAAAATCTCAAAGTCTTTAAAAAGAGATACATGAAATACAAACGTTGGAATTTGAGCAGAGGTGCAATGCCTCGCCTTCAAAATTTGTCCATTAATTATTGTCAGAAATTGATTAAGCTTCCAGAGAAACTATGGTCATTGCCTCACTTGCGAAATGTGGAGGTGTCACGTCCATCCAAAGAAATCACTAGTACAAAATATAAAACTTATGGGGTACTTTTTACATCAGTTGGAAGGCAAACGGTGTAAAAAATAAAGGCGGTGGACACCCGGTGTAAAAAGTTATCTTTTTACACTAGGTTCCCCCACCCGGTGTAAAAAGTATAGTTTTTACACCAGGTGTCTAGGCACCCGGTGTAAAAAATATTTTTTAAATTCATTTCTCCCTTCATTCATCAGTTCCCTCGTCTCCTCCTCGCGCCCTCCCTCTCGTCTCCCCTTCGTTCGCCTACTCCCCCTCCCCCTCGTCTTCTCCCTCGCCGGCCGCCCTTCCCCCCATCCGCCCAGCCTTCCCACCCGTTCGCCGAGCCCCCTCCCCCTCCTCCCCTTGCCGCCCACTCCCCCTCCCCCTCGGTCCGCCCAGCCTCCTCCCCTCATCCTGTCGCTCCCCCTCCCCCTCGTCCTGCTGCCCCTTCCCCCTCCCCCTCCTCCCCTTGCCGCCCCCTTCCCTTCCCCCTAGGTCCGCCCAACCCCCTCCCTCTCCCCCTCGTCCCGCCGCCCGTCCCCCTCCCACTCCCCCTTCCTCGGCCTTCCCCCTTCCCCTCGTCCCGCCGCCCACTCCCTCTCCCCCTCCGCCCTTGCCCACCCCTTCACTCTCCCGCCCCCTGCCCCTCTCCCTCCCTCTTGCCCCCCTCCACCACTCCTTCTCCCTCCCTCTCAGTGTTGAGCCGTTGCTGCAGCTGCCACTACCCAGGTATGTGTTGAATATAAATTTTTAAATTTTATAATGTTTAAATTTAGTTTTTAATGATATTGATTGTTGCTGGAAGTGCTGTTAGTGGCTTCATAAAGCCTCAGGTTGTTGCATGTGATTCATTTATTTGGTTTAAAATTGTTAATTTTTTCGTGTAAAATTTTCTAAAACTTTTGGGAAGTCCAATTTTTAGGGGAGACTCTGTCGAAATTTTTTTTGAATTTATTCTTTCCTTTAATTTTTTTTAAAATTAGTTTTTAATGATATTGATTGTTGCTGGGAGTGCTGTTAGTGGCTTCATAAGGCCTCAGGTTGTTGTATGTGATCATTTATTTGGTTTAAAATTATCAATTTTCTCTTGTAAATTTTTTTTAAAAGTCTTGGGAGATCCAATTTTTAGGGGAGATTCTGCCGAAATTTTTTCAAATCTTAATTTAGTTAGGAACTTAGTTTTTTAAAATAGTTTGAAGATAATAACATTAGTTATATTCTTTAGGAGGTGACATATGGATTGTAGTTGGATGAATGCTAGACGAACGAGCAACAAGTATGATAATGGGGTGAAAGAATTTTTGGAATTTGTTAAGAAAAATGCTGTTGACAATAGTAAAAGGTTCTATTGTCCTTGTGTTAATTGTTTGAATGAGAGGAGACTAGGTGTTCTCGAAATAAGAGAGCACTTAGTTTGTGATGGGATTTGCAAAAATTATACAATATGGATTTGGCATGGTGAACGATTGAAAAATTATAATAACACATCTCAATGTGTGGGAGTTGATAATCTTGATGATGAAGTAGAAATGAATAAAGATCGATTAGATGACATGATCCGTGATGTTGGGGAAGAGGCTTTTGAACGAGCATATGTGTATGATAACTTATGCACTGACGCAGAGAAGCCTCTATACCCGAGGTGCACTGATTTTAATTTGTTATCTGGGGTGTTAAAACTAGTTACCTTAAAGGCAAGAGTTGGGTGGAGTGATCAAAGTTTCACATGGTTGTTAGAGTTACTTCAAATAATGTTTCCAAAGAGCAATGTACTACCAAATCGTTATTATGATGCCAAAAAGATCTTGTGTCCAATAGGTATGAAGTATAAAAAAATACACGCATGTCTTAATGATTGTATGTTGTACAGAAAAGAGCTTGAAGGGGAAGAGAAGTGTCCGAAATGTGAGGCACCACGGTACAAAGAGAAGGGGGCTCCTACAAAAGTCTTATGATATCTTCCAATTATACCAAGGTTCAAGCGTTTGTTTGCAAATACTAATAATGCAAAGAACTTGATGTGGCATGCAAATGAGAGGATATCTGATGGAAAACTTCGACATCCAGCCGATTCTCCTCAATGGAAGAAAATTGATCAATTGTTTCTCGAATTTGGCAATGAGCCAAGGAACTTGAGGCTTGGACTTTCTACCGATGAAATGAATCCTTATGGTAGTCTTAGTAGTATACATAGTTCATGGCCTGTTCTTTTGGTGATTTACAATCTATCACCTAAGTTGTGCATGAAATGGAAGTACATGATGCTATCCATGTTGATTTCGGGACCAAAACAATCGGGAAATGATATTGATATTTACCTAAGACCTCTGATTGAAGATTTGAAAGTGTTGTGGGAGGTAGGTGTGGAAATGTTTGATGCAAATCAGAAGGAGAATTTTAAGTTACGTTCTATGATCTTTTGTACTATAAATGATTTTCCTACATATGGAAATTTGTCTGGTTATAGCGTGAAAGGTCATAAAGCTTGTCCAATTTGTGAAGAAAGCACAAACTACCATCAACTTCAACATGGAAGGAAGACAGTCTACCTTGGCCATCGGAGGTTTCTTAGATGAGATCACCCATATCGTAGATTGAAGAAAGCTTTTCATGGTCACCAAGAACACAATGATGCTCCGGATACTTTAACTGGGGATCAAGTATATGAACGTGTGAAAAACATTAATATTGTCTTCGGTAAGACTAAAAAGAATACTGGTGCAAAAAGCATATGGAAAAAAAGGTCTATCTTTTTTGACCTCCCATATTGGCGCAATTTTGAAGTAAGGCATTGTATTGATGTTATGCTTGTGGAGAAAAACGTTTGTGATAGTATTATTGGAACGCTTCTGAACATACCAGGTAAGACTAAGGATGGTGTGAATGCAAGATTGAATTTGAAAGAAATGGGAATATGGGAAGACTTACACCCAAGACCAGAAGGTAAATGTACTTATTGTCCCCCAGCCTCTCATACATTGTGCAAATCTGAGAAAATAAGTTTTTGTGAGTGTTTACATGGAATCAAAGTTCCTTCGGGGTATTCTTCAAATATTATGAAGCTTGTATCTGAGTTGAAACTGGTAGGCTTAAAATCTCATAATTGCCATGTCTTGATGCAACAACTATTACCTTTGGCTATTTGAGGCATATTGAAAGAAGATTTAAGACTTACAATAACCAGACTTTGTTTCTTTTTCAATGCTATATGCAGTAAAGTTATTGATCCCCGTAAACTGGAAGAGTTAGAATAAGAAGCTTGTACTATCTTGTGCCAACTTGAGATGCACTTTCTTCCTACATTTTTTGACATTATGGTTCACTTAATAGTGCATCTAGTAAGGGAGGTAAAATTGTGTGGCCCTGTTTATTTGCGATGGATGTACCCAGTTGAGAGATACATGAAAATACTGAAAGGGTATGTCAGAAATTCATTTCGACCCGAAGCATCAATAGTTGAGAAATATGTTGCTGAAGAAGCTATGGAGTTTTGTTCTGATTACTTGTCAAGTATAGAATCAATTGGACTTCCTAAATCTTGTCATGAGAAAAGGCAATATGGTCAAGGCACACGTGGAGTATCAGTGAAGAGCATGAATCATGATGAATTACAAGAAGCACATTTATATATCTTGAATAATATTGATGAAGTTAAAGATTACATATCTTCTCATAAAGAACTTTTAAAGGAAAAAAATTATCGAATGAGAATGACAGAACAAAAGTTATTAAAAGAGCATAATAGGACTTTTGTGAATTGGTTTAAGCAAAAAATTTTGAATGAAAGTGGTGTTTCTGAAATAGTTAAATGGTTGGCTAGAGGTCCTAACTTTGATGTTATATGTTGGAGTGCCTATGATATTAATGGGTATTCCTTTTATACAAAGTCTTTGGATGAGAAGAGTACGGTACAAAATAGTGGAGTTATGATAATGGCTGAAGCCGTACACTTTTCTAGTTCAAAAGATATGAAACCTAAACTAGCATCCAGGACTTACTTTGGGGTTATTGAAGAGATTTAGGAGGTTGATTATACAAAATTTAGAGTTCCTGTTTTCAAATGCAAGTGGGTTGACGTCAATAGTATTCATGATGATAAGTTTGGATTTACAATGGTTGATCTTAAAAAACTAACTTTTGGAGATGAGCCATTTATTATGGCAGACCAAGCTAAACAAGTTTTCTATGTCACGGATCCAGCAAATAAAAATTGGTCAATAGCACTTAAAGGAAAAAGGATGATTGATAGTAATGACGATCATAAATCAAATTTTGATATTTCTGAAACTCCTGACTTCTCAAGTGGGCTACCAATTTTGGATGTGGTAGATGAAGTAGATGATGAACATGCCATAAGAAGTGATCACCATGAAGGGATATGGGAGAATATCCCTATATGAGTTTAGTTTTGAAATTAAAGTATGTTAATTTAGTTCAATTAAATTTATGTTGTGGGATTGTTTTTCTTAATTATCTTATCTTTGATTATTTTTTTAATTAATTTCATTTATTTAAATTAATAGGAATATGGAGAATCAAGGTAATGATACTCAGAGCCAATTAATTGGTGATGTTGCTCCTAGTGGGGAGCTAAGTCAAGGCACCCCTAGTGAGGAGCCGAGTCAAAGCCAGTCTGTGAGGAGGGGGAGACATGGCACACGATTAAAAGATCTGACATTAAGTAGGAGTGCTGGGCGTAGGTTACCAATTCAATTTGACCAGAGATGGAATCCGATAGGGCCACATAAAGCCAAGTTTGTTAGTTTTCTTGGCCTCCTATCGCGTACCAAGCCTCCTATGGTGTTTGAGGATTGGCCAGATGTGCCAGAACGTGTGAAGGAACAGATTTGGGAAAGTACTTAGGTAAGTAATTAAAAATTAAATTTTTAATTTAAGTACTTAGGAAAGTACTTTGATTATTTTTTTAATTAATTTCATTTATTTAAATTAATAGGAATATGGAGAATCAAGGTGATGATACTCAGAGCCAATTAATTGGTGATGTTGCTCCTAGTGGGGAGCTAAGTCAAGGCACCCCTAGTGAGGAGCCGAGTTAAAGCCAGTCTGTAAGGAGGGGGAGACATGGCACACGATTAAAAGATCTGACATTAAGTAGGAGTGCTGGGCGTAGGTTATCAATTCAATTTGACCGGAGATGGAATCCGATAGGGCCACATAAAGCCAAGTTTGTTAGTTTTCTTGGCCTCCTATCGCGTACCAAGCCTCCTATTGTGTTTGAGGATTGGCCAGATGTGCCAGAACGTGTGAAGGAACAGATTTGGGAAAGTACTTAGGTAAGTAATTAAAAATTAAAATTTTTTTATAGTTATATATTATTGGGCAATTATTGATTATTATCTTATATCTTCATTGTAGCTCACATATGATGTTCCATCTAATCAAGATTGTCGACACAAATTGATTTCTTACTGTGGAACACGTTGGAGAAATTTTAAGATTAATCTTGCTAGAAGATATATCTTTATCGAGGTGCCAGAGGGTCAGGCTCGTCCCAATCCTCTTGATACATACCAGTTTCTTGATGAAGATACTTGGGAAGAATTTGTCAGGATTCGGACTTCTGAAAAGGCTATGGTTTGTTAACTTTTAATTTATTTAAGTTTTATTTAGATTTACTTTAATTATAAATCTAAAATTCAATTTATTAACAGGAAAAACGAGCTAAAGGGTGAGAAATTGCTCGGTAGAATCAATGCCCCCACACCTTATCTCGTGGAGGTTATGCTAGAGCTGATGATATACTGATGGCAAAGAAACAGAAGAAGAGAGAAGAAGAAGCCAAGTCTGATCCTTCCATACTCTTTTCTCCACTATGACCTGTCTCTCGAGAGGAGAAATGGAGATATAGACATCAGTACAAGAAAGGAGGCTATACAAGTGAGACAGCACGGGAGATTGCCGAGAGGATTATAAGTAAAATTATTATTCCTTGTCCCTTTAAATTTCTATACAATTGTATATATTATTAATTAATATTATTATTTTTATATTATAGGATACTCTTAAGGAGCAACAAGCCCAAGGAATCTTCATTTCAGAGGGCAGAAATGATATCTTAACAGTTGCTACAGGCAAGCCAGAGCATCCGGGTTGTGTGAGGGGCGTTGGATATGGTGTAGGCATTAAGGATTACTTTGGAGCACCTGCACGTCTCAATTCAGGAGGTGTAGTGACTAGAAAAGAGCTTGATACATTGATATCCACTGTGAGGCAACAGACTAAGGATGAGTTTGAAGCTTCATTTGAAGCTCGGCTTCTACAAATGAAAGAGCAAATGAAGGAGGAGATGATGAGCATGATGAGCTCACGATAAGAGACAACTGCTGAACCAGTTCATACATCTCCTGCATTTCATAGTACAAAAGGGAGTAATATTCTTGAGCATGTGTCAGAGGGTCCTTCTGGTGACAACATTGGTGAGCTATGTGAGATATTTCTAGAAGATCCTGATAAACACTTGGTTGCTCTTGGTAGCATCTATAGCTTGGGGTCAACCATCCACCACAAGCAAATTCAAGATGATCAAGTAAGAGTGGTGGTTGCAGATCCAAAAGTGCTAGATGCTTTGGTTTCATTCCCTACTAATGAGGTGAAGACTGTGGTTGAAGCTATTGGCAATTTTATCCTATGGCCCAAGAGACTTGTGAATCTAGTTCAAACTGTGGTATGAAATTTCATAAATTTTTATTATGTAGCAACTTCCTAATATATGTTTTTAATTAACTATTTCTTGTCTTTTTATTATGTAGAAGCTTTCCTCATCGAATCTTCCAAAGCTTCCACAACCCTCGTTGACTCCGCATCAGCGAATGATTTTAATGGCGTATGATTTATCATTCAAGTTCAAGAGTTTAGAAATGGATCTGGAGGTTGTGGGCAAGAAAGACATGATAGTGACAATTGAATTGGAAGATTTGGTTCGACTTCTGTCAAATAATTAACTTACCACACCATACATTGAACTATTTATGATGTAAGTATATTTTTCTTTAATATAATTGCATTGTTGTAAGTAAACTTAATCATCAAGTTTAGTAAACTAATATAATTGCATTGTTGTAGGTATCTTCATCATTTGTGCATTACATCAGGCAAAGGTGATAAGTTTGGATTCCTTTGCCCTCATCACATGACAGAGAAAGGTAATACTCCAGAGTTAAGAGCCACGTACCTCCAACAGAGAATATGTGAAGTCCAAAAGGACGTTTTTATGGCTCCATATGTGCACTCGTAAGGATCAATTTATAATTAATAGTTTTTTAATATGGATTTACTTTAACTTGTATTATATTTAGCAGGGACCATTGGCAGTTATTTGTTCTTTCAATGAAGAGCAACACTGTCGTCTTTTTATGCTCCCTCCATTACAAACTTGGGAAAGAAATGAAGAAGACGATAGACTTGTAAGAATACTTTTACTAAACTATTTAATTTAATTTTTTTTTGAATATTTTTACTAACTTGGTAATCTTGATCATAGGGCAATGAGAACATATCAAAATGTAGTCTTACAAAAGCATGGACATGAGCTCAAGGATCCCACATGGATTGAGCCAAAGGTGATGCTATACTTTATTAATATATTCAACTATTAAGATTTTTTACTAATTTTTTATGATTTGTTCTTATATAGAGTCATAGACAACCGGTGAGGACGAACTTGTGTGGTCTATATGTCATGAGGCACATGCTCAATATTATCACATTAAGCATGACCGAATTTACAAAAGAGGTAAATATATATATTTTTAAAAATTTTATTTTATTATGTTATTTGAGATTGATTAATATGCCTACTTTATGAATTAAATTTTAGATGTTCGACAATTCGGATGCATTTTCTGAAGCTAAAATTGAAGACATCCGCATACGTTGGGCAACCTATTTTGTGGAGAACTTGTGAGGTTTTTTGTTACTTTTAGACATATTTTAATTTTGATAGTTGACACAATTTAGATAATTATTAGTTTTCTTAATAGTTAAATAGTTTTGTATAGTTGATAAATACTTGATAAACAATTGTAAATGAATTGAGCTGTCTGATTTGGCAATTTTTATGCACAGGAATGACAATTTTGACAATTTAGACAAATATTAGTTTTTTTAATAGTTAAATAGCTTTGTATAGTTGATAAATACTTGATAAACAATTGTAAATTAATTGGGCTGTCTGATTGCAATTTCTATGCACAAGAATGGGTAAAATTGATAAAATAAATATAATATAAAAAAATAAAATACTTTTTACACCGGTTATTACCACAACCGTTGTAGAATATAATATTTTTTACACCGGTTATGGTCATAACCATTGTAAAAAGTGCACCTTTTACATCGGTTGGGATAGGAACCGGTGTAAAAAGTTAAAGTAATTTTTTTTTAATTTTTTTGTATATAACTTTCAACATCGGCTCTATAACCGATGTAAAAAATTTAATTTTTACATCGAGTTTATAACTAATGTAAAAAGAGAGGCTTTTTACATCCCCTGGAACAACATCGTCTTGTTAACTGCTGTAAAAAGTCATTTTTAATGTTGTAAAAAATCATTTTTGTACTAGTGAATGAAAGATTACCTTGCAGGATTGGAGATGAAAGATGGATGCAAGCTTACAATCCTTAATGCCGCATGAGATTCTTGATTAACAGGTAAATATGATGTCCTTATATCTTCCTCTATATGATTTTTTGTTAGTTGCTCTGCACAACACATGCATGTACTGTTTTTTAGTCAATGCTCTAGATTTATTGTTTTTGTTATTTTAATAATGATCTTTGGCATGATCAGGAATATATATGATTGAATGAAATTATAGTAATTAGGATAGCGTATTTACAAGTGAATTTAGAAAGAGTCCTGAAAATTGAAATTAGATTAGTTCAACATGTATGAGTTCTGTTTGACCAACTGTTGGTGAGCTTATATTAAAAGTAAAATTCCATAAAAATATGGTGATAAGGTGAACATATCAATTCAATTCTTACTCTTTCTCATGGGTCAAATCAAGAGAATAAAAATATAAAAATGATAATTGTTATTGCAATTTTAAATTAAAATATAAATAAAATAAAGATTATATTTGATTTCATAAATAATAAGAGACTGAGAAGCTTGAGAATCTTTCACTTTTATAAAGATTGAACAAATGATTCAACAAGATGTCATCCATAACTGAGATTTTATATAATAAACTTCTTTTAGATTATTTAGGAAAAAATGATTCTTATGAAATTATCTTGATATATTTTATGTTTAAACAATAAATCATTAATTTTCACGGAGAATGATTCATTCTCCATATTTGTTTCATCTCTTCTAAATCATTATTTCTTTTTATCGGTGAAAAGTTAACATGTGTTTCTCATTTCCTCTCTGTTTCTCATTTCAGGTGCTAATATTGAATCCATATGTCGTTTCATCTCTTCTAAAAAAACAGTGAAGATAAGTGTTGAGTTATACTCGATCTTGTATGCATGTTTACTTAAGGGACATTGGAGTGTTGTGTTTTGAAAACTTTGCAGATGTTTGAGCGCTCTTTGTGTGTAATGTTGGATTAAACATATTTTCTCATGGCACATTGGATTCTGCATATGTATGTCAGATTTCGCCGCCTTTTGTATGGTTTGTTGGTGAACTAAATATTTTTATTATGGATATGTATGTGATGTTTTGTATGGTAATTTGTTTGTAAGGTTAAATTTTTTGATTCAGAGAGATATCAGAGAGAAAGATTTTGCTTAGTTAGCTAGGGTCAAGTTTTTGAAAATTAATACACCCACACACATACTCCTTCATTAAAAAATATAAGACATTTTTAATCAAATCTCCTCATAATAAAATAGTAATATACTTTCAAACCAATCCTATCTTTTTATATTTATCCTTATTAAACACCCTATAATAAATATAAAGTCATTTATCAATAATGGCACTTTTAAAAAAGACAATGATTACACTTTAAAAAATTAAAAATGCTTTACATTTTTAAACAGAGAGAGTATATGGTTAATTGAAGTTTCTTTTAATATTTATGATATTTTTTTAAAATAATTTTATAACTTAGCCACTTGATATACTAGCTCAGGCGGTAAGACTGGACGAGGATGTGAGTGGAGGTAAATTGGTCCAAACCCTCCCAATGCATGAAAAAAAAAATTTATAATTTAAAAATGTCATTTGATAATAGATTATGTACTTATATTTTTTTAAAAAAAAATTACAATATATGCGCAAAGTAACATCATACCCCTGACGCACCCCAATTGTTGATGATGATAATGATGTTTAATTTCTGTTTTTTAGTTTACTGTAATTAGTAATTCTGTAATGAATATGATATGATAATTTTGATGTCATTTATTCATTAGTACATAAAATTTGAGGAATGTTGAAAAATAATTTAGAATAGAAAATGCCTCTTAACTCTGTTAATTTTAACTAAACCATCAATTTTGCAGGGGGTGGGGGCATGCTAGTGAACCACAAGATTGAAAAGGAATATCTTCATTTAAAAATTAAAAAGTAATGAAAAGCAATGGTCAAGTGAAAAGCAAGACAAACACTTATCACTTCGTAATGATTTTGTGTTTATTGATTTGTAGCTTTATCCAGTGTTACAGTTAAATTTTGGCATGAATAATTTATTTATTGGCATTATATAAATTAAATTATGGAGAAAATTAAAAACTCATTTATTTTAAGAGGACAAATAAGATAAATAATATGTGTGTGTGTGTAAAAAAGGAGAAAATTAAACTTAAAAATGTTATGATTGAACAACTTTGATACTGATAATGATGTTCTCAGTATTTTTAGTATTATATGTGTGTGTGCGTGCATGCGTATAAATATAATTTTTTATTTAATTATTATATTATTAGTTTTAACTGTAGATCTAACATGTTAAACCATGATAATCATGACCTAGTGACCATTCTGGTTTGTTATTGTAATAACCCAGATGTTTAAAATAATAATAATAAATTAATTAAACATATGTTATCGTACTTTAACTGTAGTTATATTAATTTTGAGATAATTATGACAAGAAGGAATATTGGTATAGTGAAAGCTATGCAAATAATATACTCCTTTAGGTCCCAAGTTCAAATCTGACTCTGGCCCAAGGAGATTTATTTAATTTTATTACTTCATGAAATTACCAATATGCCCTTCTCTTTATTATATTTTTCCCCTCTCCTTTTATTGCCTTCTTCGAACATTTGAGAAGCAGAGAGAGAGAGAGAGAGAGAGAGAGTTAGATAGCTGTGTGGTAATCCTTGCTTGTCTCCCGTCACATTTCTGCTCTCTCCCCTCTCAATCGTCAGTCGCCCATCGTCTATGTAAGTCACCGTCGTCAATGTGCCTATTGCTATTTCATCCATCGCAATTGTGAGATTTCCCCTGCTTCATCACCATTCCTCCGCCTCTATCATTGTCCCAAGTATGTCCAGCTTCTCATTTCTTCTTCTTGTTGTTTCGTGTATGTGTAATTGCTTAGGTAAGCTAGAATTCTTTCTTCCTTTTTGCTTCTTTGGTCACCCACCGATCTGCTCATCTCTTTGTGTGCTTAATTCCAATCTTCATTACCTTCCCTGTACAGACATGATATTTTCTTCATCCTCCCTATTTGGTGTTGTTAATTCATCAAAGGTGATAAGATTCGATCTCTTCTCCTTGGACCATTATTGTGCGTGTAAGTGGAAGAAGTGAAGGAGTGAAATTGCAATTTTTTTCTCTTAATTCTGTCACTACCATTGCTGTGCTGTGAAGGGAGAAAATTCAAAAAAAAAATTGGTTGAATATTTAACTCAGTTTGATAAAGGCATACTTATAGGTTATAATTTTTGAGTTAAATTAGACTCGTTAGATTAGTTAATGTTGAAGTATTTGTTTAGATGAAATTGAAAGAGAATACTTTGGATATAAATCTTGAATATCGGTACCTATAAGATGGATTGTTGAAAGGCTTATTAGAGGAAGTTGCAAAGGAGGTCTGATTTTGGAAGTAATATGCGATTATCTAAATTCTTGAAAATTAATTTCCTAAATTGAAATTGACATCTGATGGGAATTGGTGTTGTGAAGTATAATAATTGTGTTGTTAACTATCAAGGAAAATGATTTAAGAAAGTAAGGAGACTTAAATAATGATGAAGGACAAACTTTAATTTATTTAAGTTTATTGTGATTTTGCTATTGGAGTAAGAGAGTTTGTTTATCTGGTCGCAAATTTATTAAAATTCTATCATGTTTTGATAGGGTCATTAGAAGAAGAAAAAACTTGATTGCAGCTGAAAAAAAAAGAAAGAATTTTTGGAATTAGGTGGTATATCAGGTAAGTAAATAACGTTCCCTGTAAATCAAAGATGATGACGATTTTTGTCTGGATAAATAAATAGAACTTTTCTCAATTTAATTGTATGTTTATATAGTCCAACTTATAGTGGAGATTTTGTCGAATTTTCTACAGCTAGCTCAAATATTTTGCACCTATTAATGATTACTTAATATAAATGAGAATTGTATGACAAATTATAATTAATATGATAGATGTATTAAGGATTTAGGCTTGTGGTATATGAGTTTTCTTATATTCCATCCGGTCACAAGTAAAAAGTTCAAGGTGTGACAAATTGGTATCAGAGTTTAGGTTTTTCTATAGGTTCATGAAGCAAGTTCTCTTCAATAGGGTCTCAATTATTATTATGAACCTGGACATAATTATAATTGAGGCATTACTGAAAGCCTTATAGGTTATTATTAATTTTAGTTTGTCTTCCTTGATTTAGAGTCGATCTTTTTACATGTAAAAATAAGTATGTTGAATTTAATGATTCTTATGTTTTCTTTTATAGAAAGGATGCCCTCGAGATCTTAGATGTAGGTGCAGAGTAGTAGGTCCACTAGAAATGAAACTTTTAATAGAGTATCTATTCAATATGATCCTTTACCCCCTGAAGGTCAAGGCCGAGGCCAGTACCCGAGGTCAAGGACGAGGAAGAGGTAGGGATGGTAGAGGTATTAGACCTTCCATAAATGTTCATTCTAAGGGTGATTCGGAACGTTCCTAGTCTACTAAAGTTACTATATCATCAGTTCCAACTACTGAAGGAGGAAATCAAGTAATTATTGAAGACAAAGTTGCTTGAGTGATGTAAACACTGTATTCTGTCTGGACATTTTTTTAATTTAATAAAATTAATAATAAATAACCAAAAAAATATGTAAATATAAAAATAAAATTTAATCATTTTTAGGATTATATTTTTTAAAAAATAATTAATAGGGTTTAAGTTTATTTTAACCTAGATAATTTTTTATTAGTTAAGATCTTATTTCTTTTAGTTCATTCAAAAATAACCAAAAAAAATATAAAAATATAAAAATAAAATTTAATCCTTTTTTAGGATTATATTTTTTTAAAAAAATATCATAATTTAACAAAATTAAAAAAAGGTTAAATCTTGAAAAATCTCTCCCAAATTATCTCAACCATTCAAAAAATATTAGAAGTTAACTTTTGAGAGTTAACTTTTCTCTCCTTAAATCTTATTTTTCATTTTAAATATATATATATATATATATCTCTCTCTCTATGTGTGTGTTAATCTAATTTAAAAAATTTAGAAGCAAAAGAAATAATAAATTATATAGGCTAGATTTCATCATAACCTTAGAAGCTTTCTAGAAACACGAGCAGAAATGTAGAAAGCAAGACAGAGCAGAAGGAGCAGAAACAAAACACACAACCAGACACAGCAGCATGCACACATGAAACACACACAAAGAAGACCCTAAAAGCAAGCTGTGGCCACAATGCACATTGCAGAAGAAAAAAAAGAAACAGAGCAGAGACATGCCAACTGATACACATAAAGAAGAAATGCACAAAAAGAGAATAGAAACACGAGCTGCAAGCATGTAAGCTCTTCATACGCAAGCTCTTCCCTATTTTTGCTTTAAAAGGGGACATGAGGTGTGCATGAGAGAGAGACAGAAAACTGGAGAGGGTACGGATGTGAAAATGAAAGAAAAATAGAGCACAAAGGGAGAGAAACGAAAATGCAGAAAAAAAAAACAGAAAAAGAGAGCACAAGAATGAGAGTAGAAAATCAAGGAAGGAGAGAGAGATAAACCACAGAAGAAGCCTGAACAAAGAGAAGGAGAGCTTCAGTGAAAAAGCACACGAGAACTAGATGAAAAAGAAGGAAGAAAAAAAATAGAGACCGAGGAAGAGAAGACTGAAACCGAGGAAGAGAAAAATAGAGTACCAAGGAAGGAGAGGGCACTATTCGAAACTTAAAAAAGAGAGCTAGAGACATAAAAGAGAGAAGGAGATCGAGGAAACATAGCCATGCAAAAAGGGCATGTCAAAACGGAGAACGAGAGAGAGAAGAGAAGTAAAAAAAATAGCGGACAAGAGAGAGAATTAGAAGTTGAAAGAGTGTTTGACTTCAGCATTAGTTTTGAGCTTACCATCAGGCAATAGAAGGTATGTAGTTTATTGTGATACTTCTCGTGTTAGTCTAGGTTGTGTTTTAATGCAACACAGTTGAGTTATTGCTTATGCCTCAAGGAAACTTAAGAAGTACAAATAAAACTATCCAACGCATGATTTAGAGATGGCAGGAGTTGTTTTTGCATTAAAAATTTGGTGC